TTGTACATAGGGTCGCTATGAGTCGCAGGCGACTCGACGGCACATAACAACAACAACATTTGTTACTAATATTCTCCTGAAATGTATTTCATTTATACATACAGCCTTAGCTACTGCATTACGTTCTAAAGTTGGAACTGATAATACAGGATCAGTATTTAACATTTCAAGCAAGTATCTTACAGTTTATTACATGATTTACACAAAGGTTGTTGTTGATTGCCTTCAAGTGGAGCACGACTCATAGCGACCCTATGAACAGAAGGCATGAAGCTCCTCCACAACTACCGACATTTATCAAAATTCAGAGTTTCCGGAGGTATGTGTTTAGGAAATGCTTACATTTCAATTATAAACAAGGGAGAGCCATCTACTTTCCTATTTTAGGAAATTTAATCTTTTTAAACAAATTCCTACATGTGGGTCAAATGTCAGTAAATCATGATTAAACTGGGAAATCTAAAAAAAACTGAAGGTGAGGGAGCTCTGGTGGCCTAGTGGCAAGAAGCTGCACTGCAATCCCAGAGGTATGCGGTTTGAATCCACCAGGTGCTCTGCTGGAGAAGGAGGAACAATCTCCTCCTATACCAGTCAGATCCAATTTGACAGTACACGCACATAAAATAAAATCTAAAAAAAGTTTTAAAAGAAAACCCTGAAGGTGAAGATCAATGTGCTGTCAATGATCCTCTGAGCAAATTAACTGTCATTCAAGTAACTAAATAAACTAACAGATGTGATAAGATATACCATAGGCTTTCACAATGTGTAAACTCCTCAGGACAATGAACTCATTTTAGCTGCTCCTACAGATCAACAGGAAAAGCTTACCCAAAGATTGTTCTCATAATAGAAGGCATCTAGAAGCTTGACAATATTTGGGTGATCACAAGACGCTAATATGTCGATCTCAACCATGTAATCTTCCAATTCTTCTTCCGATTTGGTGTCAATCACCTTTGCAGCAGCTAAAACATTGGTCTCCTTATTCTGAGCCTGAAAATAAAAATATCAAAGTGTCACACTTACCATGCATACCTTACCAAAAAAGAATAAAATAAATAAACCTAAACATGTATTAACCGATGATGCATGCTATGTGCTGTCCTAAGTGTCTGACACACATACAGACAGAAGGACAAGGTTTCAAATCTCAGCTCTAGTGACGGCAGCAATGGGCTCACGTGTGTCAGGGATGATAAGGATGGCACAGGATAGGCCACGTCTCACATCTATTGTTCACAGGGTCACTATGAGTCATACTTGACTACACCTAACCTAACAACAGTGCAGCAGAAGGGAGCTCCAGTGTCCTAGTGGTAAGGAGCTGTGCTGCCAACCCAAAGGCTCATGGTTCTAATTCACCAGCTGCTCTGTTGGAAGGAAAATGAATAACCCCCTCCTGTGTGAGCTACTACCTCTGCAAACTCACTGGAGGGTCAATTATGAGTACTCAGTTCCCACTCCACGATACCGAACAACCATGCAGCAGAGGAGTCCCAGAACCACATTAAGTGCTTAACTACTAACAAAAACAAGAGCAGTTCAAACTCTTCCACATCCAACCACCTCGTAAATCCCACACCCCATAATATAGCAACTGGAAATAAAATGTGATCGTTAAGTAAAAATCAAACAAGATATCCTGATTTCAGACATACTTCTTTAAAACGGAAATGCTAAAAAGACAACATACCAAGAAATTTCTTTTTCCTTGCTTATACTTTTTGAGTCATGATGTAAATAACAAGAGGAGGACTTAAGTACTTTCACTTCTAAAACATGCACTCAAAATAAGTAATATTCCAAGTGACACAGTTCACAGAGAGCTGGGCTGCTAACCCCCCCTAGGTAGTTTGAATCCACCAGTGGCTTCGAGAGAAATCGCTGGGCCTCCAAACCTCCTCCCATGCCATTTACAGCCTCGGAAACCTGTAAGACAAGTCAGCTAGAACTCTGTTCTGACTTGACAGCAATGAGAACCAGAAAGAATTTCTAAGAGGTATCAGTAGCTAAGCTGAAAAATCTGCAAAGGTGAAGATCTTACAAAAAAGCAAGGCACCCCAAGTACTGTTTTCATTCCAGGGAGGTGTGTTGATAGCCCAAAGACAGTGCCTCTGGTGGCCACCAGTAGTTTCTCAGGAGAAAGATGGGCAATCTTCCCATGCGATTTTCAGTCTCTGAAAACCTGCTGGAAGCTCAGCTGTGAGTCAGTTCCAGAGGCAATAAATCACACAGTAGGCAACTGTCCAACCTTCTCTGTGCAGCAGCCAGTAGATTCACACCTCGTGCCTTTGGGATTGCAATGCAGTTTGTTACCAGTTGGCCCCAGAGCTGCCTCAACAAATCTTTTAAAATAGCAAATAAATAATCCAATTTTCAAAGTAAGTAAAGAGTAGCCAATGAGCATCAGAGATATATCCAGCCAATATCATACCATCCACTTCCACTGAGTCAATACTGACTCATATTCATCTTCCACTGGGTTTTGAAGAATGTTAATCTTCATAGGAAGAGACTGCCAAACTTTCTCCCAAAGAGCCGCAGGTGGGTTTGAACCACCAAACTCTCTATTAGTCATCTGAGAACTTGACATATTATGCCAGTTGTTAGTTTTTCCAAAATAGATTTATAAATTCAATAAAATTTCCATATAATACAGGGTTTTCTTCTGTTGCTTGACAGCTTGTTTATCTATTTTTGTGCAATTCAATCAAGCTAACCGCAAAACGTACTTTTAAAGAGCTAGGAACCAGGAGTATACAAGACACTGTTGAAGAACACTTAATTATGTGCTCATGCAAACCCTAAACCAATAGGCTGTTGTGCAAACAGAGCAAGGGAACATTACATGGTATAAAATTAAGAATTATTAAAAATTTGTATGCTGGGCAAATTATTTCAAAAGCTGGTCTCTACAAAGAAATGTGGCACAGGACCAGAGAAAACTCATGAATAAGCTGTGTTATACAGATGACACAACCTTGCCTGCTGAAAATGAGGACGTGAAGCACTTGCTGCAGAAGATCAAAGAATACAACCTTCAATATGGACTGTATCTCTATGTCAAGAAAACAAAATTCTCACCACTGGATCGATAGGCAACACCATGATAGAATGGAGAAAAGACTGAAACTGTCAATGATTTCATCTGAGAAGCATTGCACTGGGAAAGTCTACAGTCTGGGACCTCTCCAAAATGAAAAGCAATGATGTCAGTTTGAAGACTAAGGTGCACCTCATTCAGGCCATGGTCTTTTCACTCACTTGCTATGCATCTGAGAGCCAGACAATAAATAAGGATGACAGAAGAATTAATACCGTTTGAGTTATGGTGTTAGAGAAGAGTACTGAGTAGCCCAGTTTGATCCAAAGACCAAATGGATATAACTTGGAGAAGGTGCAACCAAAGTGCTCCTGGGAGGCAAAGCTGTGTCTCACATATTTGGGCAAGTTGTTGGGAGAAGCTATTTCTTGGAGAGGGATATCATGCCTAGAAAGGTGAAGGGTCGGCAAAAGAAAGGAAGACCCTCAAGGAGACAGATTTACGCAGTGACTACAGCAATGGGCTTGAGTGTGTCAGAGATTGTGAGGATGGCACAGGCTGCAAGGTTCAGATCTGTTGTCGCTACGCAATTCAATGCCACCTTCCAACAACTGCTGAAGAAGGACTAAGGGAAGACTAACTCTAGTAGAGACTTATAATGCCTTTCTAAATGAAACTGTGGGACACTGGTGCAAGAATAGGTAACTAGATCAATGGAGAGACTAGAGATCACAAAACAGACACATGATATAGCAACTCTATAGAGCAGTAGAGACATTTTTCTCGTCCCCTAATGGAGGGAGTTTGGACAATATTTATTTGAAAAAAACTGAAACTGGATCTCTACTTCATGCCATAAACAAAAGTACATTCTCAATAGATTGTAATCTAAATGTTAAAGGCAAAAGTCATCAATTTTTTATAAGACAAACTACCTTCATGACCTCAAGTTAGGAGAATCGAAGAGTAACACAAAAAGCCACAATTATAAAAAAAAAAAAAGACTGACAAATTAGAATACATTAAAATCAAGTACTCCTTGTTCATATAAAGACATTATTTATTTAAAAAGTGAGAAGAAAACCTAACGACTTGGAGAAAATGTTCCAAAGCCATCTAAAGATCTAATACCTAAAATGCATTTTTAAAGACATCAATATAATAAAAAAGGCAAGCAACTCAACCAAAAAATGGGCAAAGAACTTGGACAGACATTTCACCAAAAAAGGACATGCAAATGGCTAACAAGCACATGAAAAGATGCTCACATTCACTCATCATTCAAAACCAAACCCACCCCAGTTAATTCCTAGTTCACAGCAACCCTGTAGGACTGGGGAGAAACTGTTCTCTAGCATTTCCAAGGCTAAAAAAAATTTTATAGAAGCAGAGAGTCACATCTTCCTCCCAAAGAGTAGCTGGCAGATTCAATCACCAGTCTTTAGGTGGACAGTCAAATACTCTGATTCGCATCAACACCTCACTTCTGAGGCTATAAATCTTTATGAAAGGAGAATGTTCATCTCTCTCCCACGGTGCAGCTGGTGGATTTGAAGTCCTGACCCTGTTCTTTCAGTTAGTAGTGAAACAACACATAGTGCATGATGCCCCCAGAGCTCTTTCACTCACTATTAGGGAGATGCAAACAGTGAGACACTACCTCACCCCTGTTAGAATGGCAGTAATTCTTTAAAAAAGGACAAGTATTGGCAAGGTGGTAGAGAAATGGAATCCTAATTCCAGTGGGTGGGAATGTAAAATGGTACAGTCATAGTGGAAAATACTCTGGTGATTCCTCAAAAAGTTAAATATAGAACTACTGCATGACCCAAGAATTCCAAACCTAGGTTTGTACCCCCCAAAAAATGAAGGAATAAATGTACACCAATGCTCACTGCAGTGTTATTCACAACAGACAAAAGGTAAAAAAACACCCACCAACAGATGGTTAGATAAACAAAATGTGGCCCATGTACACAGTGAAATACTGCTCGGTCATAAAGACAGTGAAATCCTGATGCCTGCCACAAAGTAGGTAAAGCCTGAGAATATCTTGCAAGAGAAGTCAGTAAGTCACAAAATATATTATCTCACTTACAGGAATTAAGCAAATATTTAGAAATAAAATTAGCCATGGTTACAAGAAGAGGAAAGGAGGGGATAAGGTAGAGTTTTTGCTTCTTCTTGTTGTGTAACATCAATTCAGAACAGACCTATAGCTGACTCTCCGGTGGCTTTTCAGAGGCAGTTAATCGCACGAGAGGAAAATGCCCATCTTTCTCTCACAGAGCTGCTGGTGGCCTCGAACCGAGTGCCTTCGGGATTACAGTGCAGCCTCTTGCCACTAGGCTACCAGAGCTCCCTGGTTTTTGCTTGAGTATATGTTAACAATAGTGGAATGGGTTAGAAAAGAGTAGCAAAAATGGTTGCACAATTTCAAGAATATAATTATTGTCCTGAATTTCACATGGAGATACTAAGATAGTGCAGACTCTGTAATATGTCACAAAACAAGGGGAAAAGGCATTCTAAAGAAATAAGCTTATAGAATGACAGGATGCATTTGCAATGTCATAACCTGCAATGCTTAAAATCTACTCTATGTACATAAACACTACAAATAAGAAAAGTTACCCACAAGAAAACTCCCTGAGAGACTTGAATACAAAATAACCCACAGCACCCGCAAAATTTTTTCATTCTGGTAATAACAAATGTTGACAAGTCGTAGGTAGAGCCAGGACATTCCATCCACGGCAGGTGGGAATAACAAATTGGCGCATTATTATTTTAGCATGTCCTCTCTGCCCTCAAGCTTGAACTAATGCAGAGCCGGCCCTGCACTGAGCTTCTGAGGCAGTAAATTGCACAGGAGGAGACTGTCCATGGAAGGAGCAGCGGATTTCTATCAGCTATGAATGTCTTTGGGTTAGCAGCTTAACTCTCTACA